GCCCCCCCGGCCCGCCGGCCCCACGCCCGCCCGCCAGCCAGCCAGCCCCCGGCCCGCCGGCCCTCGCCCAACTCGCTCGCCGCGTCGTCTCCCGCCGGCAGGAAGCGAGGCCGCGCGACGTGTGTGTTGGGAGGAGTGGGGAAGGGTGCGTCTCTCCCAGCCAGAAGACGGAATTCTTGGGCCCAAGGCATGGTGTGCTCGGTGAAATTTGTTTAACAAATAAATAAAATGTTTAAGTAAAAGAAAAAGCAAAAAGCAGACATCTACCAGGAGTGGGGTTCGAACCCACGCGGACATTGTCCATTGGATCTTAAGTCCAACGCCTTAACCACTCGGCCATCCTGGTTCAGGCGAACGGTCTGCTTTTCACTCTTCCTACAAGCTGTATTCCATCGTCCTCGCACCCTCCCTCAAGAATTTCTGAGGATCCTTCGCTGCCGCTTTCCCGGTTTTCCCATTCCGAGCTGGAGCGACCTCCCCGCCAGAGCCTCCGTTTCCCGCCGCCGCCGCCGCCGCCGCAGCTCACTGTTGCCCCCGGCCCGCCGCGGCCGCGAAGGCAACTGCAGCCGAGTTCGGCGCGCTGGTGGCGGCGGCGCTCGGCTGCTCGCTCCGGGCGGGACTCCGGCGCAGCCCGTTGTGCTTTCGGTTTCGAGGGGCGCGGGCGCGGGAAACAAACACACTCGTAAACTTCGGGATTCCTAGCGGCACGTTTTGGAGGCGCGCCGGAATGGGGGTGCCGGGACGGAGCCCAGAGGGTGGGGTTTGGTTGGATTTATTCTAAATAGAATAAACTTCAAGGAACGAGTGGCGTGGGCAGCGGCACCGCTTTTCTTCCTCACAACTCACACAGGAAGGAAGTATGTAGAAATTCGTGTCTGTACTGCGCCACGCCACATGCAGGGAGCGTGGCACAAGTGGCCCTCCCTGCTGGCTGCGGGCACCACACCTGCTTGCTGCACGGCCTCAGGGGCAGTGAGGGCCTTGTTCCCACGACCCACTCGGGCACTTGGAAGTTTAGGTTCTCTCCATTGTTCTGCAATGCTCTCCCTCCGTTCTGTGCACAGGAGATTCCGTTTGTCCTGTCACCTCCTTTCCCAGGACTGCCACTGCGTTCCCCGCCACCCAGGACCTCGAACCTACCACAGAGCCAAGGCTCAGGTGTTCCGCAGTCGGGGAACCTGGGGCCTGAGCGCAATCTGGCGGTCACGCCCTGGTTCCTACAGCGTAGGCGGCTGCCTTTGACCAAGAACTTGTATCATCCGGGAGACTGCACAATTTCACCTTAGTCTGTGGGACCTCACCTACTGGCTCTTCCCCCGCTGGGTCACGTGGTAAGAAACCCACTGCCGGGCTCCCTCCTCGAACTTCTGTGACCCCGGGGGAATATTGCCCTGACCTGGGGAGGCTGTCACTCAGCCTCTGAGTTCCAGCTAAGAACATGGACGGCCCCTCTTCGGGGCAGCAGCCGGTGGAATTGCCCCTGCTCACTTGGCCACCTAACGCTGTGAGGTACCAGTGGCGTGCGTCTGCCTCCCAGCCTCAGCCGTATCCCCTCTACTGAGCGCGAGGCCTGGCCCACCCGAGCACGCCGACCAGAGCGTTAGACCTGGCCGGCTCTGCCGAGAAAAGAAGGGGCACTTAGATTTTGCGGGGGGTCTAGAGACATCCATGGGGTGATGACACAGGATCACGTCCTCCTACTGCCATCTCCATTTTACCGCAGCAAATCGTCAAGAAGCATCAGATTTCATAAAATTGGGCTTTCAGAGTACTTAAAATGGTAATAATAAAAGAACGTACTAAGTATCACTCTGTGGCGGTCGTTGCTCTAAGCTCTTTACGTATATTATCTAATCTGATTTTTTTTTAACAAGCCTGTATAGCAAGTGTTTATATCACCATGTTCAGGTTTAGAAGCCCAGTTACAAACTCACCCAAATATAAGAAGATGCCTCCTAGACATGCTGCCTGCACCTCAAGGCCATTACAGACCTTCCCCACCATCCAGCCATCAAATCCTCCATGATCTTCTGGAACATGGCAATATACTATCTGAATGATAGTTTTATGTAACCCCAGCCTTAGCCTCCAAAAAGCCTCTGGTATAAACCAGTTCTGAACAACACTACCACAGCATAGGGTACCCAAGTTCCTCTTCGGTGGCCTTGAGATGTATTAAATTTCTTCGGCCGCTGTTCAAGGATGGGAAGGAACACAGGTTAGTCTAGTCAGAGATGCAGGTAACTGAGCTATTGCAGAAGACAAAATTTCGGTCCGCTGCGTGGCTGACTATATTTTTCCAAAGAGGACCACAACAATATCTCCCACCCCACGTGTGACTTCATCTTCCTCCACTGTGATTTTGACACCCATACCGTCAAAACATAGAGTCTGTGTTCTTCCTCCCTGAAACTGGGAAGCCTTGGGTCTGTGGCAGAGGGGCGCTCTGTGACTTCTGAGGTCATTCCCCTTGTTCTCTTGGGATTCTTGCTCTGGGAACCCAGCCACCAAACCGTGACAAAGCCCAACTAGCCACATGTACTTTTGCCAGCCAACAGCCCCAACCAACAGTCAATATTAATTGCTGCAAATATAAGTGAATGAGCCTTCAGTTGAATCTAGCACATCGCCATCAAGTGACCTAGCTGTTGAATCTTTCCAGCTAAGTCCCCAGATCATGGAACAGGGACAAGCTACAGTATCCTTTTCCAATTTCTAACTCACAGACTCTATGGGCAGAATAAAAATATTATATATATGTTTTTTGTGCCACTAAGTTTTGTTTTGGTTTGGTTTTGTTTTGTTTTTAATGAAACAACAGTTAATGAAAACTCTGAGACAGATAAACTGGGATAGTGTACTGGAGTTCCTCAGTCAGGGAGCAGAATGTTATATAGAAACAGGCTCTCTGATATGAAAGCCAACAAGGGAAAGCAGCATCCTGAGATGAAGAGTCCAAGTGTGAGTCCATCACTGGAGTTCTTTCCCTCCTCCTTATTGGCAACCAGATCCTAGGCCATGCTGCCCTTTTCCAAATTGACATCCTTCCTGGGACTCTCTGGGTGGAGGATCACAAGTTGTATCCCGAGGTCCTAGCCACAGGGGGGTTAGGAAGCAAAGTCCTGGCTTTTCTACCTTAGGAAGCAGGCATTCCCCAAACATCAGAAGGGTGTTCAAAAGATGCTGGCAACTGCAAGGCATGACAAATGTCCACTTGAGTGTCGGAACAAAATGTATGCAGTGACATTTGTTATAACTGACAATATTAGGAAGCAAGTGACAATATTAAGACAAATTTCACAATACTGAAATGTCTTCACGTTCAGGAAATTGCATTTGACATACTTCTTATGGGCAAATGTTTTACTCTATTTAAAGTATTTTTCACTGTGTGTGTGTGTTTATTTAAGCCGTGATATTCTTTCTGCACTTTTTTGGTGATTTAAAAATGTGTTCACGAATGCTTTGACAGTCCTCCCTTTAAGAGATGGAGCTTCCCTTGCAATGTGGGCTGAATCCAACGACTCATTGCTAACGAATAGAATAAAACAGAAGAGGTGATACACAACCTCAGAGACTAGGTTATCAGTGCTGCTAATGTCTTGGTTTCTCTCCCTTGGATCTTTCCCTCTGGCAGAAACCAATGGTCATTTCATGAGCAGCCCTTTGAGAGGCCCATGTGGTGAAGAGCACCCAGCACGGAACTGAGGTCCTGGATGAGCAAACTTGGTAATGGATCCTCCTGCCCAGTCGAACCTTCTGATAACTGTAGCCCTGGCCAACATCTTGACTACAACCTTATAAGAGACCCTGAACCGGAATCACAGCCAAGCTCTGATTTCCTGACCCTCAGAAACTATGTAAGATAATATTTATTATTTTAAGCTGCTAAGTTTTATGCTATTTTTATGCAGCTATAGATGACTAGTACACATACCAACTAGTTTTTCTAGCTTGGATGATATATTCATGAGCATATATTTTGTTTTCACATATAGATTTTAAAAGAATAATCTTGCTGACCCCTTTGCAAACATCCAACGTTCCTTTTCCCATTTGCTCTCCAACTCTTGAATGGATTACCCATTTACTTTCAGTTTTTCCCCCAGAATCCTCTGATGTGTGGCTTCTACACTGACTTCTCTCTCTCTCTCTTTATTTTTTCAGAATGAAAATATCTTTCCTAAAACAGATTCACATTAAAAGTTAAAGTAGCATGAGTAACCCCTTTCCACAACCCCTGAAATCCCAGTCATACAAGTTGGGAACCGCTTGTCCCTTGAAGATACTAAGCCATTTTCTGTCTCTCCTCTGCCTTTCCCATGCTGCCTTTTATTTTTTCTCATTTTTTTAAATTTAAATTCAACTAGCCAACACATAGGACATCATTAGTTTCAGATGTAGTGTTCTGTAATTCATCAGTTGCGTATAACACCCAGGGCTCATCACATCACGTGCCCTCCCTAATGTCCATCACCCAGTTACCCCATCCCCTCA